ATGAAGTGACTCTCAGAGCAGCTGGAGATGACATTCGTGTTCATATCATCATATAGTGAGACGGCAGAAGCTGAAAACACCGTGAGCGTCATCCGCGCTTTAGTAAGTGTGTAGTAAACAAAACAGTGCGCCGCGCCATCCGCTATTCATTCATTGCGGAAATCATGGCGCCTTATGCGTGATATCAAATGCTTCCGCAGATTTATAGTATTACTATAGCATTTCACCTGAGCATTGCGAATCATGCGTATGGCCATGATAAGTGCTGAATGAATGACAGGCTTTCTGTTGTCATATCGCGCAAGGTAAATAAGGGTGACATCTAGTGGAGAAGACTAATGATAAGATTCACGTTAATCAGATCTTGTTTTAAATGTGCTGAAATAAATCCCGGAAAAGATCGATTCGCGGCTTTTGAGAATTGATATCGAATCGATGTCATTTAAAAAAACGATTAATCGAAAAATCGATTGTTTTGCCCAGCCCTAGTGTGCATGCATTCATTAGTAAATTTGAGTCTAATTTCATTTCATTCTTTTTCGGCAGAGAAATCTGAGGAGCAGATTGCGCATTCGTCAGTATAAGGATGGCGACGTAAGAGCGTCGAGGCAGCGCCATCAGCCAATGAATTGGCATGATTCTATAAGGACTTCAGACAATCGGCACACCCAGAGGGCGTTCCCATTGCGGCATAGCTACGCAGCGTCTCGTTCCCTATTCAGAGAACATGGGTTACGCAAGTAACCTGAGACGTTATATCTTATCAAATGCACATTATCATTCTTTGCTTGGTTTGAACAGCAGCTACGCTAATTTTTCTCTATTTGCTTTTCTGTTTCTGCCACGGGATGAGAATCCCGAGATAACTAGGAATTACACAAGCTTCAGTCTGGACCCAGCCTCTTATGAAGATCTGAGATGACCGAACACCTGAGAACAGATGATGCCAACCCCTACGAGGACCTCAGAAGACGACAACCCTGAACCAACATACAAGACTAACAAATTTTCCTATACGTTTGATCACAACATATAATCATTGCTGTTAATAGTGTTCATCGTATTTTGAATACATGTCATTAACTAACTGCATGATTTTTAACTGTACATTTCTGCCATATGGACATCACCACTGATAAACTACTCCTAAATGTAATGTAGAAACTTGAATTGAACTGTAACCAAAATTAATGCTTTGCACTGCTTACAGTATCCTTTGATGCTGCTTAGATTTTACTTTCAAACAAAGGATTATTAAGGAACTTAATTGCTGTCAAACTTATAAAGTAAATAGAAACCAAAATTGAAAATTACCAAATTAGTCATAAGGACAGTTGAGATCATAGACAAACTGGGAACACTGGAAATAGTTAACATCACTGATAACTGGTACTGTTTGAACAGTAAAAGTGCTGCATACTATTTTACTTTCTACCAGTGCTGACTCACTCTCTCCAAAATATAGTCTTGGTAACACTTTAGATTAGGGAACACACATTCAGTATTAACGAAGAGTTTTCCCTCAGTCAACTCCAAATCTGCTGCTTACTGATAGTAAGTAAGTTAATTGTCGTAGTAGTTATGTTTAGGTATGGGGTAGGGTTATGGGATCTAGAATATGGTCATGCACTAATATGTCCTTTATAAGTACTAATAAACAGTCAATATGCATGCTAATATGCAACTAGTTAATAGTGAAGTGTTCCCTAATCTAAAGTGTTACCAAAGTCTTCAATTTTGAAAATGTAATGCTGATAACACAGAAAACACTTGTTATATTTGCGTATAGCATGTGAATCGTAGATTGGATTTCAAAGTGCTTTGCTGAGACACATTCATCAGCCTAAGTGTATAATTTCTGGGGTTAATAAATGCTCACTGTTCCAGAACAAACTGCATTGTCTCCATCAGGCCCATCTGCTCCTCTCCGATCAGAGATGGCTGGAATAAGATCTCCGGCACACGCAGACGCTCTGTGCCCACGAACAGCTGATGATACTCGGCCTTGTTAAACAATGGCTAACACAAAATAGATAAAGAGAGCAAAAAGAGGATATAAGAACACGGATACTATGAACAAATCTCGATGTGTTCATGAATATAGTACAGAGTAGACTCTGAATGACGTCATTCACTGAATTTACTCTAAGATTACCTGGATGGTACTGGTAGTTTTGCCGGGCTCATCATTGTCCTGATTTAAATCTGGTACCATTTCACTCCCATCTTCTGCAGGTTGCTCCACCTCTGCAGTCTGATTCAACAACACCACAAACAGCACGTTTTGCACAAAAAGAAATCATATTTGTAAATCATGATTATTCCCACACCCATTATATCATGTTTTATTATTTATATTCAGTAATCCATATGAATCAAAGACAACACAAAGTCAGAAACACAAATAAAAGTATGTCTGCATGCACAAACCTCAGCCTTCATGAGCCTGTGCTGCTCCACGCTCACGCTGAGTTTATGGATGTAAGATTGCAGCTCCTCAGCTGAGTCCATGTTGAGCTCCACCAGACTCCTGTGAAACAGTTCCAGAGAGCCATCCTCCAGCAGCTCCTGATGGGAAAATGACTATTACCGTGTGCATACTGGAGCTCAGCGTTTCACCTCTCTGCATGTAAACGTGTATACCTGCACAGACAGAAGTGTTTCCAGTCGTTTCTGGTCTTCCTGTAGTTTCTCTTCTCTGCGGCGACTGTTGATTTCCTGTAGTCGGCGGAGCTGTTGCGTTTTCCTCTCGTTCTTCTCCTCGACGCTCACGCAAACGCCAGCTGCCCGCCCTGAAAATGGCAGCTGCACACGGTGAACTTCCCTCTCGTAAAAGTTAGGACTTCGCCACTTCTCCAGCTCTGTCTCACAATTTATGAAAGCATGAATGCAGTAGTAGAAAGCACTTAATGTAGTGAAGCAACAAAACTAATTTAATACTGAAAGCTTAAACTAAAATTCAAATTCATTTACAATCACAATTAATCAAATTTATGTAATAATTAAAACAAAAAAGTGAGTTGTATGCAAACATTTAAATTACACAAAGGCATTTTTTTCTTCCGACTTTTTTTTTTTTTTTCAAATGCTCAATTTTAGTCCCATCAGACCAAACAAGTTTTCCTCTAAACTGCTGAAATAATTTTCTTGCAATTAACGGCAAAATTCCAAGAGTGCTGGTTTACCGTGCTGGTAGTCTAGTGCAACATAGCTGTGCTGATGCAGTAGCTGCTCCATGCGGCTCAGCGTGATGGCAGTCTGGTTTGCAGGGTATTTCAGCTGCAGCAGTCTCTGAAGGTATGATGCGGCCTGACCTCCACCCAAATTCACACGCTTACAATTGAGAGCATCCAGTCTGCAATTTAAATCATCCATATGCAAGTGATAGGCATTTAATACATTTAAATTGCACATAAGGCAGTTTTTATATTAACCTTTTCCAATTTCTTGTCGAAACTCAATATTTTCTGTTCATGAGGTGAACTGGCAGGGCTCTGTGTGTGTGTGTTTCAATGCATTATTTTAACGTTATTTTTTTCTCTCCTTTTATTGTTTTTATATGGGGATACACCGAAATGAAAATTCTGGGTTAGAAACTAGAAGCTAGGGCTGGACGATATGGCCAAAATTTATATCACGATATATTTCTTAATTTCGGTCGATACGATATACGATTGATATCGATATGAACACTATTAAAAAAGCCTCATAAAAACGGCCAAGAACGGCCACAACAGATGTCTGTACCTACAAACTTATGAAAAATAAATTTGCCAACTCTATGAAACCTACTCCTATAAAACTATATAATATTTTAGGAAAAAAATGGCGCAAATAAATAAATGTTCACCTTTTATTGGTATTTAGCCTTCATACAAACAAGAAATGTGAAATCACTGTGAAATAAATCTCAGACTCTCCTTATTAATATTAATATTAATATTTTTTTACTTCAAACTATAGGCTAACATACCAGTCAAAAGTTTTTGAACAGTAAGATTTTTAATGTTTTTTTAAAGAAGTCCTTTTTTAATATTAGGCCAATTTATTATTTTATTAAATAATTGGAAATAATTTTGTAAGACTTTTTAATTTAACTCAATTTTAATGATATTGAATAAAAAAAAAATACAAGTCAATAAAATATCCACACTTTTATTTAAAGTAAAACAATAAAATTGGACAGAAAATATATTAAAATTAAATATCAATATTATTTTATTCAGTTCTATGCAACAGAGAACAATATTTGAGAGCAATTAAAGCACTTTTCAATGATTTTCAATCATTTCACACAACTATTTCCAGCACTTTAAAGCTCTAAAATGACCCAATTTCAATGTTATTTTTAATGGAACAAAATATACTTCGTGGTAAATAAATACTAATGTAAAATTAAAAAAAAACAGACATCAAATTATCACTATAACCAGTAGATGGCAGCAGAAGAGCACATATTGGCTTATTAGTCAATCATTTCTACTTTTTGCTTTATATTTTGAAATTACGAAAATTATGAAAACAACCTTTTTGCAGTTTATTTAGTTCATTGCAAGGCATTTCACGATTTCAATCATCATGCAGTAACCAGCATCACCCTGAAACAGGCACAGAAATTTACAAGTAAACAAATGTAAAATAACAGTGCATATTTCACTGTATAAATTAAAGACCAATCCTTGTTGAAGTTACAAAAGCTATTCAATCAAGAGAAGAGAGTGATTTCCTTGTCTTTTGTTGTTTAACATTAAAAACACAGACAGCAGAAATAGACTGCTGTTCCTTTAAGACATAATTCACAGTTTCAGGACACACTGATACTGATACACACGTGTTGTCTTTCTCAACTGTTAACGTTCACTTAAAACATGACCAACGATATTTGCAAGGATACTAACAATTACAGGCATGTTGACATATTTTGTGTTAGTTTGTCAGTTCAAACGCAAGTCTTCAAAGAGAAATCAATATAGGCTTTCCGTGTGTGCATGCACACACACACACACACGCACACACAAACACCTTCAAAGAGTGAGCGCAAGTTCTCAAGCGCTTATTCTTTGCTTGAATGCTGTTCATGTCTCACCTCACTTTCAACACCCGGGTGATAATTGACCGGTATACTAGTGTGCATACGGCATTCCGTGTTGTCTGTGGGAAGCCAATAGGTCTGTTTTAAGGGTTGCTATAAGAACAATTTATAGTCATCTCTACTCCAGTGCTGTGATCTAACAGACACCCAGTAGAAAGTAACATGATTTAGAAACAGCACTAAACTTAACAAGATAAAGTCCTACAGATCAAGTATAATAATAGGAACATTGACTCATCTTGGAGACAGTTTCATCATCTTGACTGTCATAACCGAACGCCACACGCAGTTTGAATGCTGAATGAAGGAGGACAGACAGACGCAGCGGAGAGAAGAGTTTACGTGAACTTGAATTTAACGACTTAAATATTCATCTGTACCTCACATTAAACTATGGAACGGTCTCAGAACACTTGAAATATAGTGCACGAAAACTTTATGGTGCTTTATAATGTTTTTGTGCCTTTGTGGGGCTTAACAATAACGCAGAATAGTATACGCACAATATTAGATTTAGATCGGTCTCATCTGACCTGATCCAGAAGAAAATGCCAGTATTGGAGCGATACGGATACGGAGTATCAGATCGGTGCATCCCTAGTTCCGGTCCGCTTTGCTTTTTTTCTTTTTTTTTCTCAATGGAACAATATAACAGTGATGCTTGAAGTAGTTGAACTAAGCAGTTTATTATTATTTTTTATATGTATGTATAGTAGGGGTGTAACGAGGAATAGACTGCTGTTCCTTTAAGACATAATTCACAGTTTCAGGACACACTGATACTGATACACACGTGTTGTCTTTCTCAACTGTTAACGTTCACTTAAAACATGACCAACGATATTTGCAAGGATACTAACAATTACAGGCATGTTGACATATTTTGTGTTAGTTTGTCAGTTCAAACGCAAGTCTTCAAAGAGAAATCAATATAGGCTTTCCGTGTGTGCATGCACACACACACACACACGCACACACAAACACCTTCAAAGAGTGAGCGCAAGTTCTCAAGCGCTTATTCTTTGCTTGAATGCTGTTCATGTCTCACCTCACTTTCAACACCCGGGTGATAATTGACCGGTATACTAGTGTGCATACGGCATTCCGTGTTGTCTGTGGGAAGCCAATAGGTCTGTTTTAAGGGTTGCTATAAGAACAATTTATAGTCATCTCTACTCCAGTGCTGTGATCTAACAGACACCCAGTAGAAAGTAACATGATTTAGAAACAGCACTAAACTTAACAAGATAAAGTCCTACAGATCAAGTATAATAATAGGAACATTGACTCATCTTGGAGACAGTTTCATCATCTTGACTGTCATAACCGAACGCCACACGCAGTTTGAATGCTGAATGAAGGAGGACAGACAGACGCAGCGGAGAGAAGAGTTTACGTGAACTTGAATTTAACGACTTAAATATTCATCTGTACCTCACATTAAACTATGGAACGGTCTCAGAACACTTGAAATATAGTGCACGAAAACTTTATGGTGCTTTATAATGTTTTTGTGCCTTTGTGGGGCTTAACAATAACGCAGAATAGTATACGCACAATATTAGATTTAGATCGGTCTCATCTGACCTGATCCAGAAGAAAATGCCAGTATTGGAGCGATACGGATACGGAGTATCAGATCGGTGCATCCCTAGTTCCGGTCCGCTTTGCTTTTTTTCTTTTTTTTTCTCAATGGAACAATATAACAGTGATGCTTGAAGTAGTTGAACTAAGCAGTTTATTATTATTTTTTATATGTATGTATAGTAGGGGTGTAACGATTCACTCGTTTTATCGATGCATCGATTACAAACCCTGACGATGCAATGCATCGATCTTGAAACATGATTTTTGAATCATCGATTTCGGACAGCAATCGATCAATGCTTTCAAGATATATACACATTAAATTACTACAAGCACGAATTAATGGAGGCCATGAACAGTGTTCGTGCCTCGCATCTCTCCTTTACGCGCTCCACTATTTACCTCCTGTGACTGTCACAGGATTGCGCTCACGCTCAGTTCGTCTCACTGACACATTTTTTGAGCAGCTGATGTGCGAGTCATAGGTTGCACATTTATTGCATGCACGGAGCAAAAATGTAAGTGTCTAAAGCATATGCACAGTTCCATTGAATGATAAATATATTTTAACAATGTCGTTGAACCGAATGTACGAAGGAAACTGTTAAAATAACCACAGCATTAACAACAACCTTGAAATAAGAGCATGAGGTTTATCAGATAATCAGACACATGAAAGTAGCGTTCGTTGCTATAGCAAACAGACATCGGGCGCGTTTTCTATCAGAATCATCATTCGCCGATAGAGAGGAAAAGTTAAATACTTACTATAGCATTTTATTTTATGAAAATGAGATAATGACGTTTTCGCACTGAAAGAGAAGTGATCTCGCGCTCATAGTCGTGCCAGGCTACAGTGGGTACGGAAAGTATTCAGACCCCCTTAAATTTTTCACTCTTTGTTATATTGCAGCCATTTGCTAAAATCATTTAAGTTAATTTTTTTTCCTCATTAATGTACACACAGCACCCCATATTGACAGAAAAACACAGAATTGTTGACATTTTTGCAGATTTATTAAAAAAGAAAAACTGAAATATCACATGGTCCTAAGTATTCAGACCCTTTGCTGTGACACTCATATATTTAACTCAGGTGCTGTCCATTTCTTCTGATCATCCTTGAGATGGTTCTACACCTTCATTTGAGTCCAGCTGTGTTTGATTATACTGATTGGACTTGATTAGGAAAGCCACACACCTGTCTATATAAGACCTTACAGCTCACAGTGCATGTCAGAGCAAATGAGAATCATGAGGTCAAAGGAACTGCCTGAAGAGCTCAGAGACAGAATTGCGGCAAGGCACAGATCTGGCCAAGGTTACAAAAAAAATTCTGCTGCACTTAAGGTTCCTAAGAGCACAGTGGCCTCCATAATCCTTAAATGGAAGACGTTTGGGACGACCAGAACCCTTCCTAGAGCTGGCCGTCCGGCCAAACTGAGCTATCGGGGGAGAAGAGCCTTGGTGAGAGAGGTAAAGAAGAACCCAAAGATCACTGTGGCTGAGCTCCAGAGATGCAGTCGGGAGATGGGAGAAAGTTGTAGAAAGTCAACCATCACTGCAGCCCTCCACCAGTCGGGGCTTTATGGCAGAGTGGCCCGACGGAAGCCTCTCCTCAGTGCAAAACACATGAAAGTTTGCTAAAAAAACACCTGAAGGACTCCAAGACGGTG